GATGTTGAATAAAAATAGGGGTGTAGTGAAAGGATAAAGAAAGAGGAGGAGATAAGAAAATTTTGAAAAGCCGCTCGTACTTGTTTCATCCATTGTCTTTCTAAATACTAATACAAAGGAATCTTCAAAATTACAAGAACAACTAACAGAGCTGACAACTTTTTTCAACGAAGAATTGAAATTTAAATTTATAGATCGCTATCAACAATTTTGGCTGCAAAATAAAGATACCTTATTTCAGATTATATTCTTCATATTTAGATTATAGTGCAAAAGTATTTTTAATTGCATTTCCTTCGTCATATTCAACGTTTCAATTAACAATAAATTTGTTAGCTAAAAAAGCAAAAAAAAAGATTGAAAATAGCTACTCGCGGTGATTTAAAAACTAAGTTCACCCTACTTAGAATTACTTCAAACGTTATGTTCGCAATTTTTATTTTAACATTATCTTTCGTTATCGCGATTTTCATGCGTGTAATGATTTCAGTGAATCATTTTACAATTTGCGCACAATATTTTTTCTTACTATGTTGGGGAACGTCGAGTAGGAGAAACTCGAAATATAGATACATAGAAATGCAAAATTCTGTTTGTTTGTTCAGTTGAAAGACGCTAGACTTTTTTTCCAGGCGCTGAGTAATTTTTTTATTTGAACCTCTGCTCTAGAGGAAGCCCGGAATCACGACGAACGAACCATCAGTTCCAAGTGGTGAAACAAGAGAAGACGGTGGATACTGGTGAGACTCTAGGCGTCCTCTTGTTCCTGCCTTCTCTCTGTTTCACGTCTGTCGGGACGGTAAACGATTCCTCGGCGAAACGCCGCGAAAACCGATTTAAAGGGTCCTTTTGAGACGTGGGCCCCATCCAGTCGGTGGATACGTTGCCTCGTAGGCCACATGGAGCCAACGACGCGAGAGTCGATGCACCACATCGCATCGTACCGCCTTGCATTTCAATACGCTGCTGTCGTAAAAGAACAGAAAGATGGTCTCGTATACGCGTATATATGTGTCGGTGGAGAGATGACAGAAGAATTCGGGAGCCGGAATATAAAGTAATCGACTGGCGCGATCCAAATTCGTCGCTCGTCCTTAACAAGATTTCTCACGGACGAGATGAATTTTCATGGACGCCCGGCAATTCCGTAATGGCGATCGCATAAAGAAGCCACCACTACAAATTACATTTCCCTCGAGTCTCTCGTTCGTGACAATTTAATTAACGAATAAATAAATCACCCGGAATTCGGTCTGACTCTTGCGGTCCTCCCTCTTGCCGCTTCGAGGACGAAGTGAATTCGAACGCCGTTTCCCTCGTTAGATCGACGATCGAGATCGATATTTATCGAGCACCGGCGAAACCGAATACTGCATAAATATCAATAACATTTCCGCGGTTTTAATAATAAAAAAAAAAAAATATGCGACTGAAGTGGAGCACACAGCTTGGAGTAGAATGCAATATTTGCACAGAGGAAGATGATAGGTATTGAATAAAAATTCATTCTCCGTTTCTATCGTCGGATAGATCTTCCTCTTTAATTCATATCTTTCATTGATTTTCAACTGATTGTGAGAGCAGCGTTCGTCGGGCAGTAGTTGGCGCAAGCAGGCAATAAATAATTCTCAACGAAGTGGAATCTCATCAAAAAATACGGTAAACACGGCATACAATACGGCAAACGCGTATAATTTTCGTACGATTATTATACTAAGCGTCGATATTCACAGCGATCAAACAGCAGCTTCCGAACGATCAGCGGCGAATCCTTTTCGTTCCATCGTGCAACTGTATTTTACAATCAGCTTCCGACGTTGGCAGAAGAACAAAACAAATATCTCGTATCATTTATGCTCGACGTTTAATTGCCGTGTGCATCACGGCAGCCGATGAATTGCGACGCGTCGCTTTTACCACACCGCCGTTTCATTATGCGTCGCCTAGTTACGAACAATAGGAGTCTGCATTAAACTGCGGGAAACTATCGTGACGGTTTCTCGGAGCGTTGAGGAGACCTACGGTTGCACGAAAATCGAAGAAGCACGGTTACCGGAGAGCAATTAAAACTCGTCGTTGTTCCGACGAGGAAGGAAAAATCCGCGGCAAAAAGTTGGAGGATCGTTTCCCTCTTCGCCGTAGCAACACGCAGCAAGTTCCTCGCAGCACAAAACAACGATAACGCGATAACGGAGCATCGAAACGAAGTTTCATTGCATTTCCCTTCGAGCACGAAAACAGTTTTCCTTTCGGTTATAGGCTGGGGTAATGGGATCACGCGAATACATAATCCATCCCTTCGCTCCCCCCTCCCCACCCCGTTCTAGATAAGAAATAAAAAGGGAATAAAAGGAAACCAGATCGGATACGAAAATTCTATTCGTTCGCCCGGGATCGTAAATCCGTCGGCGGATAATCTTGCGAGAGGCATTTGCGACGAAAACCGGCTTAATGCAAAGAAAAAGAAAGGACTCTCGAACTTCTCGTTTCTCCGAGAGTCGCCGACTTTCACTTACGATCTGTCGCGAGCTTTTCGTAAGTCGAATCCAAAATCGATTTCCACTGATTTCGAAATCCAAGAAGATTCTTAAGATTTTAATACTAAACGCTAGAACTACCGAAAGTGATCGAAACGATCAATTTATAATTCTTAGAGTAGTTTTTCTAATTAGGATTTACAATTACGCGTTTTTTTTTTCTTTTTCTTCAAAGATTCGAATTACAAACCTTTCTCTATCTCTTGAACTCTAATTCCTTTGACACAATGTTTACACTTTAGACTTTTTAGGTAGTTCTACTCTATTCTAATTATTGCACACAATTATTGTACATTTATGCCTGCTGTTTGCAATAAATATCTTGCAGCTTCTGTTTCAAATTTGACGTGTTCAAAGATGATTACATAACAGGTTCGACTGAAAGCAAAAAGAGGAGGAGCAGAAAGGGTGAAATTAGAAATCAGATGGTGGAAAGAAATGAACGCGGTCATTTTCGGGCGAGTATTCGCACGAAAAAGTATAGGTAAACAGACGAACAGAAGCGTCGTTGATGTTACGACAAATTAACGAGGTTTATTAAGCTGAACGAAATTGCGCCAGCTGGTGTTCAACAACGGAAGTGTGGGGTTTCGTAATTCGAATGCTTCGAAGTAATAAGGACCAGCAATTACCCAGTGTCCACGGCAAGATACGGACCGATATTAACATCCGTTCGCCGAGGCACAATTGAAAGAAAAGCGGAGCGCTTTTATTCCGACGACCCACTTTTCCCGCAATTCGGTTGCCTACTCGTGACACTCGGGTGGCTCTCGCTGCCTCGAGAACTTCTTTCAATTTCAACGAGGAAGAGAGACGAAGATTCGAAGAGGTGGAAACCGGACGATTGCTCAGAGCAAACAACGGCCGCCCTGAAAGTCCTAAAACGATGCGAAGACAGGGGTGGAAGAATCAAGCAGTGATGCCTCGTCGACTGGATGTTTGGAATAGGCGTTCGAGTAAGCGGATTTAGTTTCGCGAGGATGAGCTTGACATTGCCAGAAGAAACGATTCGTTCAAAAAAAAAAAAAAAAAAAAAAAAAAAAAA